TSCKTAACACACCTTGCATTTACCATCCAAGATACTGCCATTAGCAGAATGGTATCAAAACGTCCCAAAAAAGGAGGATTAGTTCCTATGAGAAGTTGGAATGAGTGTTGGTTAATCCTGTCACCCAGAACCTTGCCACGTTACAGTAAACTCTCCASAGATAACATCCTCACATCCCCACGGGGCCATCCTCTCTTGACAGCTCCAGCTGGTGGAGCCCATTTTCAGGATTTCCCAATTTTTGGRCCTGTGTCCARGCACAGCTCGGCACAYACWCACACAGAAGCAGYTCTCCAGCCCTAACTGCTCCTCCAYCCTGCAGACMYGCAKGTTTTRCAAAGCCTGTGTTCAGCTGCTGGAACACACCAAGACTTCTGTCCAAGCCACTTGCTCTTTTCTCTGGARATGGAAACAACGGGGCCAAGCAGCACATCTCCTGCCAGCTTTGCCCCACACCATGGCCTGGGCCATCCCTGCTTGTACCACACACACACAATCACATACACACACACAAGCCAGTAGGGATGGGACCTGGCAGGGAACATCTTGCTCCATGGAAGGGCACAAGGGTTTCAATAAGGCCATTCAGGAAGCATATGGAAAAATAAGATTCAAACATTAATCCAGCTGTCTTAACCATAAGCCTACCCTTCCTCTGCTTCCTAAGTGATATTCTCTTTTTTTGTTTTTGTTTTTGCATGAGCTGCCTGGTTCCAGGTTGCATCCTCTGGCAAATCCCCGAGCCCATTTACCYAAATGAAGAGTGTTACTAAATTGTCCACTTTAAGCCTCTCAGGCTTCTTCATGAGCTAGGCTAAACAAAAAAAGCAAAGGGGAAAATGTCTCTCTCTTTCCATGAGATTTTAGTTCCCTATACAACGTTAGCATTTCATTGTGTTCTTCAGCAAATGAAATTCATTGCATWGCATTTTAAGGAGGTTAAAGAAAAATCCAAGCTGGTTCAGAAAACATTTAAACATGAAAACACACCTTACAGCATGAGGCTTTAAGTTACTTTGGCTAAACAAGATGATGACTGAGGGTGATTTGATTAGTTATATTGCCTAGGTTGTATTACACATATGTTCTATAGCTCACTTAGCAGCTGAGGAARTCATGGCTTCAAACAGTCTTTTAATCCAATAAAGCACAGCCTTAAGTGCCAAGACCTAGACAGTAAGTCCAGATTGTCTGAAATGAGAAGGGAAAGGATTGAAATTAGACCCTGGAAGAAGTAATGAATTTCTTTTCTTTTAATGTCAAGTGAGAYAGGATATATTTCCAGAAGCAAATACAAGTTGCTTTGGTTACAAACRAAAACTACTTAGTGAAACAACAACATACAAGTAATTATATTAACTGATCCCTTCTGGCCTTAGATTTCTTAAGTGTAAAATTAAATCAATTTGTGGTTTTATAGTTTTTTCATTSGTCTTTGGCTAAAATAAAAGTAGAGAGCAAGGAGAGTAGTTTTCTTTGTATGTGAGAAAGCTCAGACCTAAGGCATTTTCAAACACGTGTTCACAGACGCTTCAGGAATTGCACAGGTTCAGCCACCCTCAGCTGAACTCTGCAGAGCTCCTGCACCTTTTCAATACAAAGCAAAGCAGCCTAATCAAAAATCATCACCAAAGAGGCACAGGTTAAAGCACCCTTAAAACGGTGTGCCTGTGCCTACTGGGAGAAAAGGGAAATGACTGGGCATCACCCAGAGCCTGTGTGCCCACCCAGGAGTTTCTAAATGATTTCAGCTTCTCGTGGCCCCTGTGGAAGCCTGGCTGTGTTTTGGGCTTTGGAGCACCCATGACTGAGGCACACACAAATAAAACTTCTGACTTCCATTCTTCATAGCCTAAACTAAGGTCACCAGAGCAAACCTGTGCTGACCAAAGTCACTCTAAAACCCCTTCCATTGTCACCATGCAACAGTTTTGTCATCAGTGTTCCAAGTCTRATGAAGAGAAGGGGGGTACACCCAGAGGAGACACATCAACTCCATCATCAGCCCCACCAAACTTCACCAACAATTTCACAGCACCCACRGATCTCACCAGGGACTGAATCACACAATTTGAGCAAAGCTGCCTCCTTTGGGCCTGCGAATGCTACTGTTCCCAGCCAGCCTTGGTGGGCTCATTACTCATGGCTGACCCCAGCATGGGTAATATCTACCTACACACTGC